AAAAGACACAATTACAGATACTTCTCAGACATAACCAAATACTTTGTGAGATTAGTTTTCTAGGTTTGAAGGCTTACAACCTTAGTCTCTGGGACAATTCAGTCAGCTGGCATAATATAGTTTACAAAGTTCATGTTCTGCATCCTAGTGAAGTCAGTATGGTCTGGGATCTTAAAAGCTTCCAAGCAGCCATCTAAGATATAACTATTGGTCTCTACTCATCAGGAACAAAAAAGTAAGAACGAAACCAAAGTCTCAAAGAAGAAACAAGTCTACAGGGCTAATAGCCTACAGAAGCCAGGCCTCATCTACCCTGAGACCAGAAGAACTAGATGGTGCCCAGCTACAACTACCGACCATTCTGACCAGGGTCACAACAGATGGTCTCGGGTAGAATGGAAAAAAAATGTAGAACAGAACTCAAACTCTTAAAAATCACCGGACTTACTGGACCAGTTGAGACCAGAGGACTCCCTGAGACTATCACCCTGAAATACTCTTTAAACCTTGAACTGAAACTGTCCCCTGAGATCACCTTTTAGCACAGTAACACAGGGGCACACAAAATAAAGGATATTACCCATATGTACAGTGCTCTACTAAAAAACCATCTATAAGAGACCAACAGGTCAACATTTATTCTAAACCAAAAACGAGAAAATAAGGGAGCAAGAAAACTAGAGTACTGGAAACAGAACCACCAGAACACAATTAAAGAGGATGCTGACACACTGTGAAAAATGTAACTAATGTCACTGAACAATCTGTATAGAAATTGTCAAATGGTAACCTAATTTACTGTGTAAGCGTTCACCAAAAGAACAATATTATTTAAAAAAAAAGAAAGAAATTCCTATGGAGCACAGTTTTGTTCTACTCTAACACACATGGAGTTGCTATGAGTAGGAGTCAACTCAACAGCAATTAATTTACATTCTCTGTGTCAGTCCTACTACTTGAAATACCCAGTCCTGAATACAGCCCCTCCCCCGCCAAAAAAAACAAACCAAACCCACTGCCTTGGAGTCGATTCCGACTCATAGCGACCCTACAGGACAGAGTAGAACTGCCCCATAGGGTTTCCAAGGAGCGGCTGGTGGATTCAAACTGCTGACCTTTTAGTTAGCAACCGAGCTCTTAACCACTGTGCCACCAGGGCTCCGAATACAGCACAATGCAGTAAAAATAAGCAGGGCCTTTAGAGTCAAGCCTGGGTTCTAATTCAGACTCTTGCCCTTACTAATTGGGGAAGTTATTTAAGTCCTCTCAACTTCAGTTTTCTCATATATCAAATGAGAATAATCCTTACCTCATAAGGCTATTACAGGATTTAATGCTTGGCACAGGGAACAGCTAACTTAGTTATAAATATTATTAATTCTGTCCAACTCCAATGCTACCTCCTCCTTTGCTTTTCTTTGTTCTCCCACGTGGAAATGAGCTCTCCCTCTAATGTCACCTAGCATGTTATCTTCCTGTTCTTTTCTTATGGCTCTGATCCCTATATACTATCTTACATGATAGTGATTTCTACCCATGTCTTGTCTTCCCTACTAGCTTGGGTACTTCTTGAGGGCAGGATCCATCTGAGACTCACTCTGTATGCCTCACAGCCCTGAGAACAATGGCTTAAATATAGTATGTGCACAAGTATTTACTGAATGAATGATATGTCTTCACTGAACTATATATAACGCTTATTAGGTGTATCATGTTGCCTTGGGATATAAGCAGGAGCCACATCACTTGTTCTGAACAATGCCTAGCTTGAGTGCTCAGCAAATAGTCAAACAATATTAGGGACTAAAATGGCCAACATAAAAACAAGCAGGCAATACATAATCGGCTTTCAGAGTGAAGGTATTTTTATTTTCCATTACTTTAAGCTATGATCATCATCTTGCACTCCAACAAGTATAAATAGATCACATTTAACGGAGAGAAACCAACCACTTCCACAAAGAAGATATGCTGAATAACATTCATAATGTCAATGACCTCTGAGCATAGAGCTAAGTAAATCTAAATATTCAAACAGGACCTACATCTAATAAATCATCACACACAGTTCAGGCCAAAGCCTTATCTAGAGCTCTGTATAAAATCAGATGCAAGCAGCATAAAATGCAGAAATCAAGTTCTACCTAAGTTAGCAACTTTAAGAAAACTGCAGCTGATTTTTGCAGCACAGTGTGCCAAATCTCACTGTTTCCTAGAAACACTAGTCATTTAATTTGATGGTCAATTTAGTAAGCTAAATAAAAAGGTGTCAGTCATTCTTCACGACTTTTAATGCTACACACCAAATGCCAAAATGGATCCACTCATGTGAATACAAAACTCACCGATGAGAGGGATAGGAGCTGGTTGAATGGACACAGGAAACCCAGGATGGAAAGGAGTGAGCTGTCGCATTATAGGGATTGCAACCAGGGTCGCATAACAATATGTGTATAAATTTTTGTATGAGAAACTAACTTGAGCTGTAAACTTTCACCTAAAACACAATTTAAAAAAAAAAAAAAACCTCACCGATGAGACATGCCAATGAAAGGAATGACATTTTCCAACAAGATCACAGTGAGGAAAAGTCTCTTCTTCCAACTACTTCTGTTTATGCATTTCCCTTCAGAAATCTACTGTAAATTACACATTCACCAGCAGATAAATTATTAATCTGAAGATGTATTATCAACGATTTACTCTGCTTACCCTTCTCCATTTACAAGGCACTTTCATATTCATTAACTCTTTTGAGGCTCACAACAACCCTGAGGAGGGTATAATTACTCCCATTTTACATATGAACGAAGTGATTTGTGCCAAATTCCAAAATGGTGAAGAGAACACCCAGATATTCTGACTCCAATTCCTGTGCTCTCCTTGTTTCTCCACATAAAGCAAGAGCATATCTGTTTTGCTTCCACCCCACTTACTCTCAGAAAGTTGCCCAGTGTGCAGAAACAGAGTTGGAGTATAATTATTATGGTCAAGACAGTGGGAAACATACCACTTTTGCCTCTAGCTAATCAGGTTTTCAGAATTCACGCAACTTAAAGGAAAAAAAAAGGAGCATGGGTTAGCTGCTGGGTTTTATTTCCTACCTGTCCTATTTTTGGATTTCTATATACACTAGCCCCTGGGCCAGAATATCTTCTTGGATCTTCTGCCCATATTCAAAGGTTTGGGCAGCATAATTGTTGACTCTTACACCGCTTTCAGTCTTAGAAAAGAAGGAAAGAATAAAAACCACTACTTGCCCCTAGCTTGTAAAACTTTTGCCCTTCCCCAAATGTTTTATTGAACTTCTTTTTTTCTTACAAACCTGAATGTCTCTGATGTGCCTTAGCGGGTCATTCTGAAGTACAAACACTTTCAGCTTATCATACATTTCACAAAGTCATTCCCTTCCTGGGGTGTAAGATGTGTCCATAAGTGTTTGACTGGATATTGCACCAAGCAGTTTACTGTAATAAGTAAACAAATAGAAAACCCTAACATTACCCTTTTTCCTTTCAGAGAACCCTCACCTTTCTATTTTTGCGGTGCAACCTACATATCTTTAACCTTTTAATGAGCTCTATTAAGTGGAGACACACCCCAAAGCATGGCCTGCAAGTTTCTAAAGGATCAGCATTTCAAATACCCCATCTTTAAGGTGCTGCCTGAAGCTCACTCTTGATCATGTCACAATAGAACGAACCATTTAAATGATCAAACTCAACCAAATGACCTGTAGGCACTTGAACAATTTACATATTCTGACCAAAGTGGGCAGACAACATGTGCAGGGAAAGCACAGACTCCAAGGGGCAAATCAGAAGAGCTGCACAAAAAAATAGCAGCTGGTAGCAGTTACCATAGCACTGCACGTCCAAGGCCTTTCTCCCTGACCTCAATTAGCTGCATCTGCCTTAAGAAGGTCCCCACACTGGGCCTAGACACAGAATTTAGGGGATAAACCTACTCAAAAGAAAATTATAAGCATACAATAGATACTTGCCAGTGACTTTGCCTTTATTTTTCACAATCATTTTACAGCCAAGAAGAGAAAAAAAAATTGTCACTCCACCCAGTCATTACCGTCCATTCTTCTGGGTATATACTTTGGCACAAACGGTGGATTTTCCTGCACTGTTGCTGGGGATGTTTACTATTCTTTCTTTTACTCTAGGGCTCCTGTCAATCAGCTGAAATAAAAACTGTACACACAGTAGAGGGAGGAGGGGGTCCACAGCTGACTCACCTGTGACCACTGAGAAAGCCAAGCTAGGTGAAGTTCCTTCAGAGAGTGCCCACACCCTTCCCCCCCCAATAACAGACCTGTATTTACTCCTTGGGGGCCAGACTCCTTGCGCCAGGGAGTGGGTAGGTCTTTGTTTCACCCTCAAGAGGAATTCAGAAGCATGTGAAGCCATCCAAAAATTCTAAGCTTAGACTGACCTTGATCTAAACCATAGGTCAGTATCTTTAAAGAAACTATCACTGGGGCAAAGGTGTTTTCCTTAGAAAATAACTTGCCATGGGAATTTTTTACTGCCCCCACACTCTTCTATAGCAACCAGAGACCAGGGCAAAACCATTACTCAAGCTGCTGGCTTTAATTCCCAATTATTTAGGAGGTACAGGGGCAGTTCCTTGGTCAGCTTGATGTCACCTTGTCCCAGACACAGGTGCAGAACACGTCCAACAGTACAGGCAGATTGCCCCTTCAGAACAACCATCTGCCAAGGAGGGGTGGCTGCAGAGCAAGAGGGTCCCTTGCATAGCTACAGATCCTTGTCTTATGTCAAGGCCACTAAAAGCACAGGTCCAAAGTTCTGGTTGTAGCCACCACTGTCCACTTCTACTGACCCCACTCCCTAAACGTCTGGAAACCCATTCCCCTCAGAGACCTGGGCTGGGAGTCACCCTGAACGCCCCCCACCCCAGCGGTGAGGGGGTCACCGGCCAGAGGTCACCGGCTCGGAGAAACAGCCCTTTGGAAGCCTTCCACTTACTTCTCATAGCGCTGATAAGCGCGTTGCCATCTTTGATCACATCTTTGATGAATTTGTTGGTCCTCTCCAGCTCCTGCTCATAGCACTTGAGTCTCTCGCGGAAATCTGGGCTGTCCAGGTAACAATCGCTGAACTCCAGCGGGGGATGCCCCATGGTTCTGATGGCGGAGATTGGGGGGAGAAGGGAAAAGACACAAAGACCGAGAGCATCAGTGGCACAGTAGGGGGATTAGCTGTGGTGGACTGAGGGCGGGATCCGCTTCGGAGGCTCACAGCCTCCTTCCCTTTGGAGGACAGGTACCTGTTCCGATGAGGCTCTTGAGTAGAGATGGCTGGTCAGTGCAGGAAACGGGCGGCCCAGCAGTAGCTCAGGTGACCGGGAGAGCGAACTAAAGCAGCAGGATCCCAGCCGGGTATTACCCAGCAAACAGCATTCCCCCTAGGCTTCTCTTCCCCTGACAGGCAGCAGAAACCGCAGCGGCTCGCCTCCAGAGACCGGCAGGATCCTTCCTGAGCAATTGCAAACGTGACACCTCGGCCCGCCCAGGGTGTAGGCGGGGGCGAGCTCCGGGCCGGGAGCCGCCTCTCCCCCTCTTTTCGCCCTCCTCCCTCCGCGCTCCTGAGCTGCTGGAGGATTTCCTTTGCGGAACTCCGCGGGCAGCCGGGACGGCACAGTCCCCTCCCCCTCCTTAAAGCCAGCGCCTCGGCTCCGCCCCTGCAAAGCCGGAGTCCCACGCCCAAGCACTTAGTCTCCTTCTTCTAGCGTCTTCCTTGCACCCTAGGGTTTCGTCACCAGGGTCCTTCGGCTGCTAAGAGTTCCTGGTCCACAGGAGTCGGACTGCTGTCCTCTTAGGCGCCAGAAAGGTTAAGCCCGGACGGCTGTGAAACGTAGCCTTCCTCCGTCGACACCCAGTGGGAGGAGGGCGATAGCCCGACTCTCGCACAATAGCTGCGGTAGCTCGGCGCTTCCCTACGGAAACTGGGGAGCAGTCAGCGCACTAGGACTCCAGCTGGAAAGCGTGGCGGCCTGGGAGATGTAGTCTTAACGTTTCACGCCCCTGACTCCTCCCTGCCGTCTCCCACCACCCCACCGGGGAGGCCGATCTCCCAGATCGGCATTCCCAGCTTACCCCAGGCTCGCTAGCCGGGCCCAAACTCAAAAGGCAAGTGCCTGGCAGTGGGGTCTGCATGGAAAATTTCAGAAACTGGAGCAGGAACTCAGGGAGGAATAGACTGTGGGCAGCCCACTGTCATTTCCCAGTACTTGACTGGATTGTTTATTCGTTTTCCTTCCTCTTTTTCCAGCCTCCCTCTGGCTTACCAACTTCTTTTCCTCTTGCCTTTCCTATTTCTCCTCGTCCTGGCACTCTAATTCCCATGGCCCTTAGGCCTAAAGGGTTGACTCTAGGATCTTCTTGTTAGGCTCAGAACCTCCTGCTAAAGAAAGGGAGGCCCTAACTAGGAGTTAACTTTTGCCTGAGTAGGACCTCAAAGCTTGATTTTTGTGACCCAATTTATTGCACAGGGTGATGATTAAAGCACGTGATTTTCTATAAGTGGAAAAACTAAGAAGAGGATGTTGTAAATTGTCTTGATTTTACTTAAGAGGCCTCTTGTTCATTGTCCATTGTAGAAGAAGTGGGGCTACTCTTGTAAGTGGCTGCCTTAAGATTAGGAGTAGCTAGAGGCTTGAAAAACTGGAAAATAATGTGTTGCTGTTAGCTGCTGTCCAGTCAGCTCCTGACTCGTGGCACCCGATGCACAATGGCATCGGACCATTATTAGCCATAGAGTTTTCTTTGGCCGATTTTCAGAAGTGGATCACCAGGCGTTTCTTTGGAAAAGTAGCGTGTACTTGGGCAAAAAGATCCATTCTGATTTTGCAGAAGTATTTAGATTAGATTGTCCTGTGAAAAAAGCCAAGAAAGGCCAGAACTAAAGAGGGTTGTAACTAGAGTAATAACGGCCAACCTGTTACTTATGCTTTTGTTGCTAGAACACATTACCACAAACTGGGTGTTTTTAAACAATACAAATTTATTCTCTTTCAGTTCTGGAGATCAGAAATCTGAAATGGGCCTCACCAGGCTAAAATAAAGGTGTCAGCAGGGCTGTATTCCTTTCTGGAGTATCTACGGGAGAATCCATTTCCTGGCCTTTTCCAGCTTCTAGGAGCCACCCACATCCCTTGGTTTATAACCCTCTTCTTCCTCCATCTTCAAAGCCAGTAATGGCTGGTCAAGTTTTTCTCATGCTGCATCACTCAACACTGACTCTCCCTCCTTCTTTCACTTATAAGAACCCTTGTGGTTACATTGGGCCCACCCGGATACTCCAGAATAATCTCCCCATTTCAAGATCCTTAATTTAATCACATCTACGAAGTCCCTTTTGTCATGTAAGATAACATATATTCATAGGTTGTGTTGATTAGGACATGGACATCCTTTGGGGGACCATTCTTCACCTGTAAGTCTACAGCCCACCTCACTCATCTTAAAACAACTATATGAGGTTGGTATTGTTATTATTGCCATTTAAAGATGGGGAAGCTGAGTCAAAGAGAGGTTGAGTGACTTGCCAAGGACACACAGCTAGTAGTGTCAGTGCTTGAACTTGAACCTAGCCTGACTGGTTCTAGAGGCATTGCTCTTAACCACTACACTATATACCAGTATGGTAAAGAGTTCAATGAGGAAAGACCCTCGGTAGAGTATAACTCTGTAGCCACGTCTTAGGGAAGGATTTTGTTTCCTACTCATTTTATTTTTAAAATTAATTTTTGGAAAAATGTTCAAAATGAGCTTTAAATGCACCCTCAGTTGAGAAATGCAGGTACTAAGGAAAGCAAAGGTTTCTATAGCAATCATTCACTCTTAACAAGCATTTACTGAACACCTGCTATATGTCAGACACAATCCTTTGATTTATAGAACCTATATCTATATTTTCATCACTATGAAAATTACCATTGACATTACTGATGTTAGGTACAATTTCCTATACTCAAAGTGTTTTATAGTCATCTTTGTTATCCTTTATGTAAATCATGGAACGAAAGCACAGAGGAAAACAAATGTCCTGGACCAAATACCAAAGAAGAAAGACAAATAAAATTAGGACTCAGCCCCTCAGATAATAGCTGCATTTTATTAAGCACTATCCTAGGTACTTTGCATACTTTATATCTAACCCTTACAACAACCCTTGTGGACTGTGGTCTTCAGCTTTCTAGTCACATAATCCCTAAAAGAATTTTGAGAAGCTATGTCCTCATTCATTCTTAGCTTGACATCTAAATTTTAAATAGCTGCAAAAGGTGTAATTCCTAGCATACTATAAATATTGACATTTTAAAATAAAACTGTTATATCACTCTTTCAAGGTATCCATTGGATTCTAAATACCAGGACAATTTGATTCCCACCATCAAACATTAAACACAAAACAAAGCCAAAAAAAAGTGTAAGCTCCTCTTTAACCCTCAGAAAATTTACGTTGTTCCTTTTTTCTCCTTGAAATCAAATTTCTATTACATTCTCCTCACAGAATTGTATCCTATTATGGTATGGTTTTGTGCTTAAGGCTTTTATTGATCACCATATTGAAATATCTATAACAAAAATATGTCCATAAATATAAACTGAATTATTTTTATTTCCTTGTGACCATAAAGCATCAAATATAAAAAATTATTCTGTACTGAATTATAATTTCAATTATTATGAATACACAATAAATAAAACAATATGAAGATATTATACATTTTGGTTATTATTATTAAACATAAAACAAAGAAGTTTATTGGAAATGCATCTCTTAGTGAAATGGATAACGAGTTGATAGGTTATAAAGCCTTGAGTTAAAGAAAATTCCTAGACATCAGTATTTAAAAATGTCCCTTTGTTTAGCCCCAAGGGTGTTTATACTCTAGGTCAAAGCACTATAGTAAGATTCCTGACCATTGAGATTTATGTTTTCCTTTTGGGAGATTGGAAAAGGGAGGTGGGAAAGGAAAACCACAGGTAAGCTCTCAGGCAAATCATTTTTAAGAAATAATACTAAACAAAGTTTAAGATTTGGAAATTGATCTCCTTTCAACTACCTGGTGCCTTCATAGCCCTTGGAAAGTCTTCATGTACTTCCAGGGCTAGATATACCCCAGTATGAAGACAGCTGCTACAGTATCATTATCCTTGATGTATGTATAAGAACTAATACCTCAGAGAGGTTCAATATTTGCCTGGTCTCACACAGCCAGTAAGCGTTTAACAAGCTCCACTGCTTAGATGCAATATGAGTCTGTGATACAAAAAAGAATACATTTTTAAATACTGACATTTTTAAATACTGATATTGAGGAATCTTCTTTAACTCAAGGCTCTATAACCTATCAACTCGTTATCCATTTCACTAAGAGATGCCTTTCCAATAAACTTCTTTGTTTTATGTTTAATAATAATAACCAAAATGTATAATATCTTCATATTGTTTTATTTATTGTGTATTCATAATAATTGAAATTATAATTCAGTACAGAATAATTTTTTTTATATTTGATGCTTTATTATCACACGCGTGCACGCACACACACACTGAAGCAAGGTTTACCGTCATTTTAAAAGGAAGCAAAAGAAATCCCATTTTGAATACTCTGGGGTTATGGTAATCTTCTGTATCTTGACAGGTGCTTGGCTCACACAAGTGTAAGCATTTATCAAAACTTAGCAAATAGATTCTTAAGAGGTTTGCATTTCACACTATGTAAATTGTACATCAGAAGAAAAAAACTGTAAACACGTATTGAACTCTAGTTAATGATACACATGCTGAAATGTTTAAAGAGTACTGATGTCCGCAATTTTGAAATGCATACAAAATAAGATTAATTGATAGATGAAAAGATACAGTGATGAACTAAATTCTTTCAACTTTGCTGTATATTTGGAAATTTTCGTAATAAAATGTTAGGGGAGAGAAATCCCATTTCCACTGACTGAGTGTCTTGTATGTCAAGGTAACACCACCCCCACAGTACTAATATAGAACAGTATCTCCTTTGTAAGCTGTCACTCTGTTTCAGCTGTGATGCTGTAGAAAGCTTGGAGCAGTACAGATACTACAGACCTGAAGTTGAGTCTAGTTCCACCCCTTAGAAGCTCTGTAACCTTGAGCAAATCACTTAAACTTCCCTCACTTGGAATAATACCTTCTTCACAGAGTTTTGTAAGGATTAATTGTAGATAATGTATGTGAAAGTGTCTGGCATATAGTAACTCCTCAGTAAATGTTGGTTGAATCCAGTGTTTTTTCATTGTTCTTGTTCTGATAGACAGTACCAGAGGCAGAAGACAGATTGCCCACAGTGATATTCCTAGATTAACATTACTATCTATATAACAACACAAGTTGACTGTTCATTATCATCATAAGGGAAGAAAATCCATGTTTCTGCCCAGAG